GGCCAGGCGAGGATTATCAAGGTCAGAGAGCGGGGTCAAATGCTCAGGCTACCCTTTCCCCTGCCCCCGCCACGGCCACGCCCCAGGGCTCAGGGGAAAGGGCAGACTGAGCATTTGACCCCGCTCTCTGACCTTGATAATCCTCGCCTGGCCAGTGATTGACCTGCTGACTGTGGGCGAGTCTCGGCAGATGACCGCTGTGGCGGAGAAGATCCGGGCAGCCCTGCTCACTGCTGCTGACATCTACCTCTTGTCCACCTTCCGCCTGCCCCCCAAGCAGGGTGGTGTCCTCTTTGGCCTCTACTCTCGCCAGGACAACACACGATGGCTGGAGGCCTCAGTTGTGGGCAAAATTAACAAAGGTGACTGGTGGGCATCTCCTTTCCTGCACTGATGACCCCCTGAGCACTCTCCCTCGTTCCCACTCCCATATCTCTCTTAATTCTCCTCGGCCTCTGTGGGGGCTCATGGGCCCATCCAGCTGTGCACAGGCACTAGGGGCACCCGGAACGGGGTGCTTAGGACGTGCACCGGGAGGCCAAACCATAGAGCAAGGCCTAATACTTGCAGGGAGAGGGTGTTGTACTTGGGGGTGCCTGAGGGAGGGGGAGGGAGGTCTCCGTGTCCCAGCGAGGGTGTACGGCAGTCCCTCAGTTCCCTGGCACAATCCAGTGGGTACAGAACCAGCTGGCACCCTAGCAAGGGACAGAGTGATGGAAGACTAAGGACATCCTAGTCTCCGAAGCAGTTTGAAAAGTATTTGTTGTGTGCCTGTCACATACAAGGTGGGGAGAGATACACCGCAGGCAAGGGGCCAACGGGAGTGCGGTCCAGAAGGGTAGATCCGAACCCTAGTTGGGAGACGGGATGGGGGACAGGACCCATACTGACTCCCCTCCTGGGCAGTGCTGGTGCGGTACCAGCGGGAGGACGGCAGAGTCCACGCCGTGCACCTACAGCAGGCAGGCCTGGCGGACGGGCGCACCCACACGGCTCTCCTGCGGCTCCGAGGTCCCGCCCGACCCAGCCCTGCCCTGCAGCTCTACGTGGACTGCAAACTGGGAGACCAGCACTCTGGGCTCCCTGCATTGGCCCCCATTCCTCCTGCCGAGGTTGACGGGCTGGAGGTTCGGACTGGACAGAAGGCGTATTTGAGGATGCAGGTGAGCCAGGAGGACGGGCCCCTGAGTTCCGCGCACGGCCTTCACAGCAGTGGGAGGAGGACCCAGCGGGTTTTCCCACCCCACTCTGCTCCTGTCCGCCCTCCCCCCACCAGGGCTTCGTGGAATCTATGAAAATGATTCTGGGCGGGTCCATGGCCCGGGTGGGGGCCCTGAGTGAGTGTCCATTCCAGGGGGACGAGTCCATCCACAGTGCAGGTAACACAGAGCTGGCGTTCTAGACCCTAGAATCACTTCCTATGGCCTTTGTTGACCCTCATCTCCTTGGCTTCCCCCTTAACATTCATTCCTTCAGCTCACTGATTCCTGGGGCTTCAGACGCTGTTACCCCCAATCTCCTTCGCCTGTGGTTACAGGCCATCCCAGGAGGCCTGGGTCAGAAAAGTCTCCCTGTTCAGGGGCCCCCGCCTCCCCGGGTAGCTGGGAAAGTAGAGCAACTGGAGAAGAAAGGAACTCCCGAGCGCTCTGTGTGGGGGCCAGACAGTTCACTGCTTGTTCTTGGCGACCCAGAGAAGGGTCTTTGGGTCTTAGCTGTCATCTGCGACTGTCACCTACCAGCGGCCTCTCCGAGCATGGTCCGTGTGCCTGGTGTCTCTGACGGGGATGCTCAGAGGTCCTTACCGACAGAAGACGTCCACTTCTCCCAGAAGCTGGGTGGGGGAGGGGGCGCAGAAATGGAGCGGACAGACTTGGATCCCTTCTGCTGCTCCCAGGCCTGGGAACCAGGGGGATCTGGCTTCTGATTGTGAGGCAACCCTCTTTCAGGGTCGGTCACCCGTGGGGAGAGCTGTTGCTGCCTGCCTGTCGCCTCTGCCCTCCCACCATCCAACTGCCTGTCCCTCTTCCAAGACTCCTCTAGGCCTTTGTTCCTGCCTCTCTTTTCCTTCCTCCTCCTCACCGGCCTGGTCCTCTTCACATCTCTACCCTCTGTGTTTTCTCCTCTCCAGTGACCAGCGCACTCCACTCCATCCTAGGTGAGCAGACCCCCCGGGAGGCGGGTGGGGAGGAGCCCGGGGCAGCTGCTGCGGGGCTTGGGCGGGAGCCGGCAGGAAACAGAGGCCCCTTTAGCCAGGAGAGGGGTGGGGTTTGTTTAAAGGCCGGGTGGGGAGCATGGGCAGGAGCTGACTTATTACCCCAAGAAGGGACGAGAGCTGTGGCCCAGTTTTGAGCCTCTCTGCACCTGGGGCTCTGACAGGGGAGCAGACCAAGGCGCTGGTCACCCAGCTCACCCTCTTCAACCAGATCCTGGTGGAGCTGCGCGATGATATCCGAGACCAGGTTCGAGCTCGCCAGTGGGGGGTGGCACGGGGCTTAGGGGTGGGGTGGTGCGAGGAGCCGACCGCCCCCATCTGTCTATCCGCCAGGTGAAGGAGATGTCTCTGATCCGAAACGCCATCATGGAGTGTCAGGTGTGCGGTGAGTGGGCGTGTGGGGTGGGCTCCGGATGGCACCCCGTGCTCCCCACCTCACGGCTTTGGCCTCCCCTTCTGCGGATGGGCACGCCCCCCTGTGGCTGGCTCTGACCATGCCCACCCCTCAGGCTTCCATGAGCAGCGTTCCCACTGCAGCCCCAACCCCTGCTTCCGAGGCGTGGACTGCATGGAAGTGTACGAGGACCCCGGCTACCGCTGTGGGCCCTGCCCCCCAGGCCTGCAGGGCAACGGCACGCACTGTGCGGACATCGATGAGGTGGGGGAGGGCCGCCTGGAAGGGCGCAGAGTTGAGAGAGGCCCGGGGATGTGGGGCGGATGCTTGGAGACAGGGAAAGAAATGAGGAGGGGGGCACAAAGCCCGTGCAAAGAGCAGGGGGCCGCATGGGGAGGGCCACTTGGGGGGCAGGGGGCCCAGGGGTGGGGGTCAGAGCTCAGTGAGGCTAGGCGGTGGGAGCATGGACAGGGTCCTGAGCGCCCCCTTGTCTCTCCCACAGTGTGCTCACGCTGACCCCTGCTTCCCTGGGGCCAGCTGCATCAACACTGTGCCTGGCTTCCACTGTGAAGCCTGTCCTCGTGGCTATAAGGGCACTCGGGTGTCCGGGGTGGGCATCGACTACGCCCGCGCCAGCAAACAGGTTAGCTCGGCCAGAGCGTGAAGACGAGGTCTGGGGCTTGCGGGGACCAGGGGCTTCTGGGCTGGGTACAGGGTCCTTGTGAGAAACGGGACGGGGCTACCAGCCGGTGCGCTGGCTTTGCGGGAGGGGCCCGGCTGTGGGTCCGGTTTCACCCAGAGTCTGCCCTGTCAGGTCTGCAATGATGTGGACGAATGCAACGACGGGAACAACGGTGGCTGTGACCCGAACTCCATCTGCACCAACACCGTGGTGAGCCGCGTGCCTGGAGTGTGTCCGGAGAGTGGGGCGTGCGGCCACACGCGCACACGCACACGCGCCACTGCAGAGTTCCTGCCACACCTCCTTCGTCCCCAGGGCAGGCCACCCTGACGTGGCTCATACTGGCTCCGAACCTGGGTTCTGCTTCTTACGGTGGCTGGTAGCAGGTCTCCTGGGGTTTAGTGTCACCACCTGGAAGCTGGGGCTATGAGACACCCGCTGACCCGCAAGGCTGCCAGGAGAGGCCAGGGGCCATGACTGTCCTAGTGGGCATCAGGCCAGGAGCGCCCATCCCACACCCCTTGGGCGGGACAGCCCCGGGTCCTGGGTACCCAGCAGGCTGACCTCCTCTCTGACATGCCGCTTCCTGGTTCTCAGGGCTCTTTCAAGTGCGGCCCCTGTCGCCTGGGCTTCCTGGGGAACCAGAGCCAGGGCTGCCTCCCAGCCCGCACCTGCCACAGCCCAGCCCACAGCCCCTGCCACGTCCACGCGCACTGTCTCTTTGAGCGCAACGGAGCAGTGTCCTGCGCGGTGAGCTGGGCCTGGGGCTTGGGAGGGAGAGGGAAGGTTTGGAAAACGGGGGTCGGGCCGTGAGCCTGCATGGGGCCTGGCATGGGGGCCTGCGTGGGAAGGGGCCCAGGAACCACTTGGGGAAACAAGGGCTGGAGCAGGAAAAGGCCGGTTTGAGGAGACAGGCCTGGCCCTCATTCCTACTCTTCCCGTGGCCCAGTGTAACGTGGGCTGGGCTGGGAACGGGAATGTATGTGGGACCGACACGGACATCGATGGCTACCCAGACCAGGCCCTGCCGTGCATGGACAACAACAAGCACTGCAAGCAGGTGTGTGGCCAGCGGGCAGGGGTGGGGCCGGAGGGCAGGGGTGGGGCCGGCGGGTAGGGGTAGAGCAGGCGGGCAAGGGTGGGCGTCCAGGCTGGGGCAGGGGTGGAGCAGATGGGCAGGGTTGAGCCGCCCAGGCTGGGGCAGGCCACAACCCCATCTGGGTTCCTCCCCGACCTTTAGGACAATTGCCTTTTGACACCCAACTCTGGGCAGGAAGACGCCGACAACGACGGCGTGGGGGACCAGTGTGATGATGACGCTGATGGGGATGGGATCAAGAACGTGGAGGTGGCTCCTGGCGGCCCTGTCCCTTGCGGCTCCTCTGCTCCTCTCTATGCCTTGTCCCATAACCCTGTCCCCTCTTGGTCTCTGGCGGCGCTGCAGAAAGGGCCCCAGGGCTCCCATTCGGGCGTAGACCCTGTGCCAAGATGAGATGGATTCTGTGGAGGGTGGGTGGGCGCAGCGTGACTGCCGACATGGGCACGGGGACGGGGTGTGGGTAGGTTCCCAGGGGCGTAAGGGCGGCCTGACTCTTCCTCTCACCCCAGGACAACTGCCGACTGTTCCCCAACAAGGACCAGCAAAACTCTGACACAGACTCTTTTGGGGATGCCTGTGACAACTGCCCCAACGTCCCCAACAATGACCAGAAGGACACGGACAGCAACGGGGAAGGGGACGCATGTGACAATGATGTGGATGGAGATGGTGCCACTGGGGCTGGGGGACTGGGAGGCCCTAGCAGTGGGAAGGAGGCACGGCTGGGTGGTCTAAGCACCACAGGGGTGGCCTGGGTGGGCGAAGAGCCCTGGGAATGGGAGGAAGGTGGGCAGGGCGAGGCAGGAGAGGGCTAGGGGTGTCCTCTGCATGGGACGCCAGCTCCAGAAGACAGCATGACCTGTTGTAGCGACAGGCTTGTGTCCCTGCATGTCTCCTAGGCATCCCCAACGGACTGGACAATTGCCCTAAGGTCCCTAACCCACTGCAGACAGACAGGGATGAGGACGGGGTGGGAGATGCCTGTGACAGCTGCCCTGAAATGAGCAATCCTACTCAGGTACTGGGGCTGGGGAGGGGAGGGCCCTGGGGTGAGGCCATGGCCCTTCCCGTGGGAAGTGGTCCGGCCCCGGTCTGCGGAGTCATCAGGAGGTGGAGAGAACAGGCATCTCTCTCTCTCAGACAGATGCCGACAGTGACCTGGTGGGGGATGTCTGTGACACCAACGAGGACAGGTAGGGCAGGCCAAGACACAGACGGTCCTCCCCGGGTTCCTTTACTTTCTTGTGGTACATTGTTTCCTGCGTGGTTTAGCCTTGATTCTCCACTCCTGTTGAGCAGGAAGCCCCTCCCCCAAGTCTAGCCTCCACTCCTGCTGCGGGACATTCGCCTCACCTGGCTGGCTGTGGGTCACACCCCTGACTTCTGAGCAGAAGATGGGGGATGGACGTGGTACTTTTAGAGCCTTTATTTGGTGCCTGTTCTGGGCAGCGATGGGGATGGACATCAGGACACCAAGGACAACTGCCCAGAACTGCCAAACAGCTCCCAGCTGGACTCAGACAATGATGGACTCGGAGACGAGTGTGATGGGGACGACGACAATGACGGGATCCCAGACTACGTGCCTCCAGGTCCTGACAACTGTCGCCTTGTACCCAACCCCAATCAGAAGGACTCAGACGGTGAGGCCGGGGTCCCACAGAGGCCTGCACTGGTGGGGGCCCTGCACAGGGCGGGGTGGCAGGTGCCACTGGGGCTAAGCCAGGAAGGCGAGGCCCGATGGGCGGTGTGGTAGTGTCCAGAGCCCACCGCCAGGCCTTCCTGAGCCCTTGGCCTCGCTCTGCCCAGGCAATGGCGTTGGCGATGTGTGTGAGGATGACTTCGACAATGACGCAGTGGCCGACCCCCTGGACGTGTGCCCTGAGAGTGCAGAGGTGACCTTAACGGATTTCCGGGCCTATCAGACCGTCGTCTTGGACCCTGAGGGAGATGCTCAGATTGACCCAAACTGGGTTGTGCTCAACCAGGTACTGCAGCCATGGGCTGGGCAGGGGCTGTTAGGCCAGGCCACCAGGTGGGGCCCTGGTGGGGCTGTGTCCCCGGAACAGGGTTTTCTTCTTTCCTGCACTCCACCAGGGTATGGAAATCGTTCAGACCATGAACAGTGACCCTGGCTTGGCGGTCGGTATGTACGGAGCACCCGGTTCCAACACTTCCACCTGGAGGAACCCTACAGGGGCAGGGGGCAGGGGCCAAGCTGAGCATACATCTCACAGGCATTGCTTCCCACCCCGAGTGCCCCGTGGGCCACTAGTGGCTTGGCCACCCCTGACCCAGATCCCACCCACGCCCAGGCTACACGGCCTTCAACGGTGTGGACTTTGAAGGCACCTTTCACGTGAACACGGTGACCGACGACGACTACGCAGGCTTCCTCTTCAGCTATCAGGACAGCGGCCGCTTCTACGTGGTCATGTGGAAGCAGACGGAGCAGACCTACTGGCAGGCCACACCCTTCCGGGCTGTCGCACAGCCAGGGCTGCAGCTCAAGGTGCCCCCAGCCCAGGGCCCTCACCCCAAGCCTCCCGAGCTTCCCCCACTGCCTGAGTGGGAACCCTCGTTCTCAGACATCTGGCCTGGAGGTTGGCTTCCAGGGGACTTCAGAACGTGCTCCCGCCCCCCTTGACTTCCTTTTCCATCTGTGCTTACCAGCCTGCTGATTGGGTCCCACGGCTGACCCCCTGTCTTTGCCAATACTCTCCAGGCGGTGACGTCTGTGTCAGGCCCGGGTGAGCACCTCCGGAATGCCCTGTGGCATACTGGCCACACCCCCGATCAGGTCCGGCTGCTGTGGACTGACCCCCGAAACGTGGGCTGGCGGGACAAGACTTCCTACCGCTGGCAGCTGCTGCACCGGCCTCAAGTGGGCTACATCCGGTGAGGGGAGGGGCTGAGCCCTGCAGGGGCGGGGGGGGGGGGGACCCCAGGCCCGGCCTGGCTTGCTTTGGCCTGGCTTGGCCTTCCGCTGGGACTCCCCACGGGCTGCCCCTGCACTCTGCTCCTCAGTGCCCTGGGCCGGGGACTGGGACTGGGGCCACTTCCCTCTCTGCCCTCCACCACGGATGTCCCGCCTCAGCCCTGCTCTGGGCCCTAGGGCTCGTGCTCCCCAGGACCCACAGGCGGTGTGGGGCCGTTTTCCCTTCTGTAAGGTGAGGGCGTGTTTGGGAGCCTGCAAACCACAGGACAGGCCGTGGAGAGGCCCTCCCCTCCGGCCCCTTCCGTGGTACATCCCAGAAGCCACCCCATCACCACGTCTGACCCGGAAGGGGTCATCATTTGCCCAAGAGTAAACCGAGGCCCAGACTGCACACCTCTGAGCAGCAGGGCTAGGACTTCTCAGTTGGGCGCTGTGGTCACCCCTGCGTGCTTCCTAGTCAGCAGGGATGACGGAAGGGAGGGGAAATGGCAAGAGCCCGCGGTCCAGGGACTTGGGCTGGTTTCCCTTTAAGGTGCCTGGGGCTGCAGGGTGCCAGGGCAGGGGGTGAGGGAGGGGGGACTAGAGCCTGGGAAGCGGGTGACTTCACCCCCCAGCCCATTGTGCTCATTGTCATGGCAACCCAATCCTCGCCTGGAATGCGGCTGGTGCTTTGAGATGCAAAGGGGGCTGACAAAGAGGCAGGGGCCCCAGGCCTGAGAAAGCACCCCGTCCCTCCCCTTCCCTTCCTCCCTCTCCCTCCTTCCGTTCTCTCTCTGGCCCAGTGAGCTTCAGGGGGGTTGGGGATGAGTAGGGGCCTGGGCTTGATGGCCCAGTGCCCAGTGGCCTCCTAGCACCCACGGACGCCCCTGTCCTGGGCAGGGTGAAGCTCTATGAGGGTCCTCAGCTGGTGGCGGACTCTGGGGTGGTCATTGACACAGCCATGCGGGGAGGCCGTCTGGGCGTATTCTGCTTCTCTCAAGAAAACATCATTTGGTCCAATCTCCAGTATCGATGCAATGGTGAGGCTCCAGACCCCATCGGCCTGACCTTCCATAAGCCCCGGTGGGAGGGTCCTATCTTCTGACCTCAGTCATTTCTCCACCTCAGACACGGTGCCCGAGGACTTTGAGCCGTTCAGGAGGCAGCTGCTCCAGGGAAGGGTGTGAAGAGGCGGCCCCCGCGGGATTCCGAATCCTGATTTTAGACCCTCTGGCCTTGGGGTCCATCCTGGAGACCCTGGGGTCTAACTTACAGCCACTCAAGCAAACACAGACCCTCCTCCAGCACCCACAGGAGTTCCGCCCCAGAAGGGTGGTGACCCCACGGTTCAGGAGTTGGGACATTTTCAAGGGCTATTCTTCTCAGGCACTAACCCCAGGAAAGAGAACAGCACGTTGCCATAAAGGTCCGGTGGTTTTCTAAGCTAGTGCTTGTTGTTTCTTTTAGGGGTTTTCCACGGCAGTGTGGGGAGCAGGAAGGAGCCGAGCGGGTGGGAAAGGGGGCCGGTAGGATGAAAGCTGGAGCTCGACAGAAGTTTGGCTGCGCGCGGGCGGGTGGAGGAGGAAGGCGCTGGACTGGGGCAGGTGAAGGAGGAGGGGCCGGCCCGGAAAATGGCTAAGTCCTCCCAGACCCACTTACTCACGGCGGCGGCGGCGGCACTCCAGTCCATCTTAGGTCGTCCGGATCGACAGCCAGGAGGGCTGGAGCTGGCCCGCTCGGGGCGAGAGGGAGGCCGGGGGGCCGGGGGGGCCGGAGGCCGGGACGAGTGCAATATTGGCGGGGGAAAGAACAACACTGCACCGCGTCCCGTCCCTCCCGCCCGCCCGGGGCCCGGGATCCCGCTCCGCACCGCCTGCTGCCGGGCCAGCCCCAGAACCGGGGTCGCGCCGGGGAGCTGGGTCCAGCTGGAGGCCAGAGACTTGGCGCCTGGGCGAGGGGGGAGGGGACGGCGGGAGGGTGCTGGCCGGAGGGGAGGCCGCGCTGGCCGGGAAAGCCGCTTTCCGACACCCAGCCGCCGCGCGCGCTTGCTCTTTAAATACTCGGAGCGCGCGGCGCGGAGCCGTCGCCATGGTGACGCGTGTCCCAGCAACGCGACTGAATGGCTGTTGCCTGGCAACGCCGGGGCCGAAGTTTTGGGGCCGCCCACTTCGACGCTCGCGCTTTCTCCCGCGGGCGGGTGGGGGGCTTCGGCGCCCCTCGGACCCGCGCGCCCCGCTCGAAGCCGCGCCCCCCTCGCCTCCGCCCGGCCGCCCTCCAGCCCCGCGGCTCCGAGGCGTCCTGAACGCCCCTCGTCCTGTCTGCTCTCGCCGCGACCGAGAACCGTTCCCAAGGCGGACGCAAGTGGGGGGAAAGGGCCTCCAGAGGGGCCGGACCCCCAGGCCCCACGTGCGCTGTGCCCCAAACGTTTCTGCCCTTCGTACTTCTCCCCCCCAGCACGCCCCCTCACATACAGTCCCCTGGTCGCCACCATGTGCCTACCCAACCCCAGCTGCCCTCTGCGCCCCATGACAGCTCGGGGCCCCCAAATCCCATTCCGTCGCCCCACCTAGTCGCTGCTGCCCAAGTGCGTCATTGCCCCGGCCCACAGCCCCTCCCACATTCCGCCGTCCTCTCCCACATACCTCCGCGCCCCCGGCACGTACCTCCCGCCCCCGCCCGCACGCGTCCCGGGGTCCCCCCAGCGTGGCCAGCTCCTCCGCCGACCGAGCGGCGCTTCCCTGAGCTCTGCGTCGGAGCCCCTGAGCAGCGCACGGGGGCTCCGCGGCCCGCAAGCCCCCCGGCCCCGCCCCTCCGGCCGCACTGGGGCGCTCGGCTCCCCCCCCGCGACCCGGGCGCCCCCAGTGTTCGCGCGCGGCCGCCCGGCTCCCGGGGGCCGCCAGGGGGCGGGAGAGCCCGGCCCGGGGCCCGGCGGAGGAGCAGGAAAGACCCCGGGGTCCCGCGGCGCGTGAAGTGGAACTTTCTTCCCCTAACCCCTCCTTGGGACAAGCCCGGGCGGGAACGCGGGCCGCTGGAAAGTCCGGCAGCGGAGGGGACCGTTGGTTTCGGTGCTCTGCCTGCGGAACCGGACAGGGAGCGGCTGGGGCCGCGCGAGGAGCGGCGATTCCGGGAAGTGGCAGGGGGAGGTGGTCCGAAAGGGGCACCCGGTCCACCCTTTCTCAAGGCTTCCCGCTCCTCCCCACTCCGCACGGCGGGGCTTAAAGGGGCGCAGTGAGAATGGGGAGCGGGGCGAGGGACGTGAGGGGGCGCTTCCTTGGTCTGCTGCCCGGGACCCTGACCTGGCCCCTTCCTCTGTCCCTTTTCTCACCTTGGTTGTCGCCCTGAGGCTAAAACTAGAGCCCGGGAGACCCAGGGGCCTTCTGGAGCCAGGGAGTGGTTGGGGAAAGGAGGAGACCGTTTGGAGAGCAAACAGATGTTCAGAGGGTTGAGTGATTGGAGCCCAGGTACCCCACCTGAGGGGTCACGAATGGGTGGGGAGAAGGAGGAAGAAGTTGGAGGTAGGGAAAGGGGGAGGGGGCGGGGTTTTGTCACCTGTCACCTGTCACCTGCTTTGGCTGAGCCTGGGGCGGGCCAGGGACCGGTATAAAGCAGCGGGCGCCTGCGACTGCCGCACCTCCGGCTCGGCTCCTTCCCGGGACTGTTCCGCCCCCTCCCCATCCTGCTGGCCTCCACCATGACACCCGGCTTCCAGGCCCCTCTCCTCCTCCTGCTCCTGGCATCCCTGCAGCTTCCAGGTGAGGGGCACAAGGTGGGGAGGGGGCTACCATGCTCATGGGCTCTTCCCAGCCTCCCTGTGTGTTTCCTTTGCTAGCAGACGGTACCCCAAGGGGCAGATTGCAGCCAGGGGTGACCTCGTCTGTGCCAGAAGAGAGGAGAGAGGCTGAGGACATTCAGGGAGGCAGCCCCTCAGGAAAGCTGGTGTCCCGGGCAGCACAGTGACCTGCAGAAAAGCCTTCGGGGACCAGGTTGGGGGGGCGGGAGAGGTTAGGTTTCAGGAGCGGAGAGATGGACAGCTAGGAGCAGAGAGCTGTGGGAAGAGACCAGGAGGCCGTCAGCCAGGAAGGAGGAGGACGGCCTACCCAGGGTTTGGCCCACTGTCCAGATCGTCCTGCCCATTACTGCTCAAGAAGCCAGACGGTGGATTTTCTCCTTGTTCTGGTTTCTCACCTACCCAACCCTGTGACCTCGACTTCTTACAGCTGGCACTGCACAGTCTACTGATACCTCATCCTCGACCCCCAGCTCAGCCTTGAGCTCGACCACCGCCCCCGGACACCACAGCAGCTCGTCCTC